ACCAAGTTCCCCAAAGGGAATATAGGAAACTCCTTTCACCAAAACAGTAAGAAATACATTGATGACAAGAGCGGTGACATCACTGAAAAGCACAGGGTAGTTGATCTCTAGGAACTGAGGTTGAGAGTGGGAAATGCCTACATTTTCTTACTATAATTAGGGCTGACAGGATTTCAGAATGTCCATGATCACATGACACTACTCATCCATCAAAGATAAGGTAGACTTAATAACCGTAACAGACATCATGGCCAGAATGGCAGCCAAAGTGCATTCAGACACAGGAATTTGTGGTGATGACTAATAGACCATGTTGTTCCTAGTGGTGAGAGAGATAAACAGCCATCTCAAGTGATTTTGGCTTGTATAACTAGAAAAAATCACAACAGGCAAGAAGGCAGACATTAGTCAGCAAAATGAAAAATTGAAATTCTTCACCCAGTTTGTAATAGATATAAGCAAGCTCAGATAACTAGAACCTATTGATTGAAGAAAAGGCTGCCAAGTTACCACAAATATTGAAGATCAATTTCTCCCTGATCATTTCCCAAAGGGACCTAGTACCATGTCCTACTGTAATTGTGCACTGGGACAAGGAAACAAATCTAGATCTTTTATGGGCATTTGAGGAAGAAGTAGTCTAAAAAATGGGTACACTTGACTTCTGAGACGTTTGCAATGCTTTGCCCTCTTGTTCAGGGTGCAGCAAGGAACACGACTGGACTGTTATAGATTACAACAAAGTCTGAGAAGGAGGCACACTGATAGGCATAAAGCATGTGGATTTTCATATCTTATGTTAGAACCCACTGGGAAGCAACCACCTCAGAGAAGTTGTTTGGTAATAATGTGGACTAGGTAAAACATCTTGTGAAAGTCAGCCAGTCTTTATCCTTGACTATGCGGTGCTTTTGCAATGAGCTCATGAAAAGATTAGCCAAGGAAAGAAAGACATGTGAGAGAAAGGAAGGCCAATACTAAGGGCTTCTTCTCACCAAGCCATTGCTAATGCTACATGCGAAAACCGAGCCCTTTTTTATTACGGAAAAAAATGATATATTTTAAAACCAAAAATGACATTAGATATGTTTGTATAACAGATTGCCTAATGATGGTTTATACAGATTTTGAGGATAAATAAAGATCACTATGAGCTATTGTAGGTAATAAAAATAAAATTATAGCAAATAAAACACATTATTTTTATTGTGATAAAATTAGTAAAATGGTAGATGACTATAAAGCAATATAATTATGTTATATGCCTTGGGAAAAATATTTCCATGTTTTGCCTAATATTTTATATGTATCCAAAATGGTAATTTAGTAGTATAAAAAGGATGTATAATTTCAATAAATGAGCCATTTTGAGTGATAAAATTGTACTCATCATCTCTTCAGAATTGACTGTGAAAAATGTGGTGATTATGAAATAAGAAATCACATTAACAGTAGTACTCAAGAGAGGTTAATTTACATAATGAAAAATCATCTGTTACCGTTTTGCTTTTTTAGGATAGACAGAACTAGAGTCAAAATGATGATTTAAAAATATTTTTATTTTACATTTCAAAGCATAAAATATCTTTTATCTTTAATTTAAAAAATTAAATAAAAACACGAAATTTAAAGTAATAATTATTTTTAATAAAATGAGTCTAAAATTATCTTCCTATTTTTATTTCTACATCAGTGACACTTGCACACCAGTGAGGATGGGCCAAAGGTCTTCAGTGAAGAAGTTCTATTCAGGCAAATCCAAAAGTAGATAAATGTATGAAGTATAGTTTTTTCACTAACACCTATTTATTTTATACCCCATCTTTGGAGAGGATAAAGTCCTGTTATCATTAAATATTCTTTTTAATAATATGTTACGTCGATATAACAAACTCAGGCTAGGGAATGTCCAAATGAGCATGTCATCTTGTGAATGATGGCACTGTAGTAATATTACCTTTATTTGGCTGTATTTCATGATTCAAACTGCTCAAAATTGTTCAAATACATAAAAGATTTTGAGCATTGTTTTGCTTATGTTTTACAATGCAAAACATCTATACAAGTTCAACTTCATGTCCTCAGTCTTACAATTATTAATAAATATTTGTTACCTTTACAGAAAAATAAATAAGAGACAAATATATGATTTGTAACAAGAAAAATATTATTAGCAGATCCTTTTTATACTTAGAACTCACGAAAATCAGGAAGAAAAAATCAAATAACCCATTAAAAAGTGGGCAAGAAGTTGAACGAGAAACTTTTCTCAAGAAGACAGAAGAATGGCATACACATATGAAAAAATGCTCAACATTCTAATCCATCAGGGAAATGCAATCAAACCAATGAGATATCAGCTACCCCCGTCAGAAATGACTTTCTAAATGCTGGCTTGGTTCGGGACAGAGGAGGAACTACCCTACACTGCTGTGGGACTGAAACATGTTTAACCTCTGTGTGAAAGCAATCAGGAGATATCTTAAACGATATCAAGTTGATTCTACCCATCTTGACCTCCAGCAATCCCATTGCCCTGGGCATCTCACCAAGAAAGCATTCCAATGCACTCTCTACAAAAAAGACCCCTGCATGAATGTTTATATAACGGCGACAATTCATAATTGCGCAGCTGTGGAAACACCGCACAAGTGTCATCCATCCAAGAATGTTTTTAAATGGTGGTATTGTATACCATGGGAGTACTATTCGCTCTAAGAACAATGGTGACATAACGCACATCTATATTTTCCTGGTTAGCTGCTGAACCCATCTATTAGGTGAAGTTTTCCGCATAGAATGGACAAAGCAGCCACATTACTCACCAGCAAATTGGTATTCTAACTGAACGCACCTGAGTAGGTGCAGCATAGGTACTACAGTAATAGGTGTCTGGCAGGTACGGAAGGGAGGGAGGGGGGCGGGTATATACGTCACATAATGAGTGAGATGTGCACCATCGTGGGGGATGGTCATATGGATCAGACTTGTGGGGGAGGGGGAATGGGGCCTTTATTGAAACCTTAAAATCTGTACCCCCCATAATATGCCGAACCAAAAAAAAAGCCGATCCCTTTTTAACCTCCTATGTTCTTGTAACCAATTGTTCCCTTTTAATTAATGAAGTGATCTATAGCTTTGGAATGGATTCCCCTCAAGGATTTTCAATTATTAATATTATTTTAACTTTCTTTGTGATTATAAACATCCTGTTGAAAAGCAAATGCAGAATGCATGTAAGACACTAAGACAAATGTATTCTTTTTTAATTCTTTGTTGACTCATGTTATTGAAATAGCAAGAAATACTATATACTTTGAAACAGTCATAGTTTTCAGCTGTGGCATTATTATTAATTATAAAATGTTGAAGTACCATGTCATTGTTCATAACCATTAGAAAATCAATATCATGTTTGCATAGTTGTGATAACTTAGAAACTCAAGTTTATAAAGTTATGATATAAAGAATTAAATTCATTGATTTCTAAAATGCATGCTTTTCATTAGTAAGCATCCAGATTCTACTATTTTTGTGTGTCAAAAAGAAAATTTAAGAATTTAATCGGTCGTCCTAGAAACATGCTTTTTTGGTCATTTCTTTCAACATCCTGACATGTAAAATCTAATAAATTTATGTCATTATTATTATTATCTTCTATATATGTAGTATTTTTATGTGGTAACTTCATATTTTTTGTATATACTTTTAATGTAATTTACAGCTATGCAAAAGTTATTATGATTGGCAGGTTTAAAATTTATATGACACTTCATCTTAGCTAAGTTATAACTAATTAAATAAGTAATTAATCTATAACATCTCTAAAGCAGTGTGTAAGCATTTCATCTAAGTTAATTATATGAATGAAGAAAGTAAACATTATGCTACAGAAATATAAACACTGCAGGATGATCTAGTCAGATGGAAATGGTTCCATTAAGCTTCCAATTAATCTGCTAGAAGATGCTATAAAGTATATAAAAGAGGAATCAACAATCCAATAAACAAGAATAAATGAAAATACTTGAAAGTTCTTTTAGTACATGTGTATGTGTATATATGCTTGTATATATATGTGTGAGTGTGTATGTGCTCAAAATTATAGTATTCTTAATGCAGTATCAAACATAGTACAATTTCTGGCAACAGATAAATTTTTTATTTTTACAGATGTCAAGCTAATTTTTAAAAGAAAGGGAGATTCATATTGACTTGATAGCTGCATTAAAATCTATTTAGGGGAAAGATACCCAGTAGGATCTTACTGTTTTTAGTTGTATCTAGAGAAGTCAATATTGTGACATGATTAGTCATTCATTCCACAGACATTTAATGAATACCTACTATGTGCTAAGCTCTTCTAAGCTCTGTTACGTATGCTGAACACCTGCCCTCATGAAATTAACTTTCTAGTGGCCACCTAGGATTTCTTAGTGAATGATATTTCCCATTAGATCACCTCATGTAAATATTAATAGCAGCTGAAAAAGAAAAATCTAAGAGTCCATAAATGATTCACAGTTAAGCTCCAGATGATTGCAGTGGCTTTAAAGACTTGACAACCTAAGTGCTAAGAGTGATTTGAAACAAAAAAATATCTGATTTCAGTTATTAAGGGTATTTTTCATGGGAGATTATATCAGATATATGATGGTAGGCTTAACTCTGGAAGAAATTGTTACTCCCAGTGGTTGGGCTTCATATATATTCATAACCATCTGAATGTATTTTGATCACAAAGATCTATGACTTTAGCTTTTTTTATCTTGTATATACAATACCAAATCTAAACTGTCTGCTATACTGGAGGATTATTACCATTGTCCACAATGACAAAAATACATAACATTTATTGAGTGCTTGCTATATGCCAGCTACAACTGTTTTAAGGACATTCATTAATTATCTAAGTTGATGTTCAGATTTCTGTGAAATTCAAGTGTGAGATTCTTCTTTGTCTTTAAATGGCTTTATAGTAAAAATTATTTGAGTCCTACCGGTAGCATCATTGGTTCAGTTTTCACTCAATTTTGGTCCAGCAATTCTTCATTATCTTGTTCTATTTCTGATGCATTTAAGAATATTTTGAAAAACTTCAATCAGGTTGTTTTTAAAAATGTATGCAGAGAAAGGATAGTCTTTAATTTCTATTATAAAATTACTAGAAAATCCCTTATACTTATGCATTTTACTTATGTAATTCAACTATGAACTGAAATGAAGGAAAAATAATCCCATTTTTTACCCTTAAATTTCATTTAAGTCATCCCCAAAATGATTCAACAACTCTACAGATAAGCAGGCCAAAGCCAAAATAAAAGAAGCCAAAAAGAAATTGAGTAGAAGCCTTTTTTCCAGTTCCTAACACCTAAGAGTGATTTAAAAATTTTTCAGAGATAATTTGGACTATGCACTTTTTTCAAAATTAAGAGCTGATTTTAAAATACAGCCTCTGAATTACATGTAGTCTCATTGTACCACCTCATTGTCATTAGCATGTGCTGCTCTCAAAAACAGATTTGTATTATCTATATCTCTCTAATCTATCATGTCTACTTAAAACTAAAGTTATTAATATAATAAAATGTAAAAATGTTCATGATGATTTACTAGTTTGACTACTGAATACATGCCAAGTGCTGTGCTAAGTGCAGAACAGAACAAGAAGACACAAAGTAATAGAAAAGTCACAATAGCACTGCAAATTAGTGAAAGGTATATTTCACATTTTAGAAATGTTGAGGAACTTCTAAAAGAAGTAGAAATAATGAAACAAGTGTGAAGTATGAGGAGATTTTTAAAAATAATTTTCCATCCTGGGAAGCAAAAGCATCACTAAGAAATAAGTGCTATCCTGGCAAAGCTCACAAAACAATCCTAATTTGTAGAGGGAGCGCTAACTGCCAATGGAGCAGATGTGGCTCATATGGGGCTGAATATGACCACGATCATCACTCTTTGAAAATAGTAGCATAGAGAGGTCTCTGTGGTCTTATAGCAGACAGGCTATTCAGAGAGCTGGAAGAGGTTGCTTCAGGCACTAGGATAGAGTTTGGGGAGACTTATAGTTTCTACCTGGCACAGATACAGGGTCATACAGTAAATCTGGTGTATTCCCCTTAGTGCTATATCTTACCAGACATGGAGAAGATATAATACTGAAATAAATTTTCCTTTAGGGTTGAGAGCATATCTATGGGACCATACCTATTCTCTTTAGTTGGTGGAAATAATTTGTATCCACCCTAAAAACTGAAAAAGATAATATCCATATTCTATATACCTGAAGGAATATAGAACACTACAAGAGTGGGTGGAAATGTGAACCAGAATAAAGAAAGAACTAACACAGCCTGTAACTCCATGTTGGTATCTGATGAGTATCATTATTCTAACTAAAACTCATTAACTTTCTTACCTGGAAGGCTGAAGGCTGAAAATGACAGTGTCCCAGAGGTGTGGGAAGAAGTTGTATGAGCAAGGTGTTGGGTGATACATTTGAATCTCACTAACATCTCTGGAACACAAATCAGATATTGGAGATCTTACCAAACAGGGATGTACACTAGACGTACACACTGGACCAATCAGAGATAGCTAGGATTTTGTGTGTAGTAGTTCTAGGCTGCTACATCCCACACAGGGAAATAATGCATAGCAAAAAGTAAAAGTTCAATGTTTATGGTGACTTTGGGTCTCATTCATTTTATATTGCTGCATTTCTGAACTGATGGAGTTCAACCAAGTAAAGTAACCATTCCCATCTTTCCCTCCCTGACCCATATTATGTATTACAGATAATCTCACAGCATCAGATTACTTAGTAAGCAAAGATAAAGATAAACAATTAATAAGGATAGCAAACTGAGAAAACTTACTAGATATATAAAAACAGAGAGACTACAATATGGAAAGGGAACAGATTCCTTTCTATGAAACAGAATTATTGTCAGCAACAGGAGGGCATTTCAGAAATTGCTTAATTGTTTCTGAAAACATAATTGGAGAGGACAAGATACTAAGAAATTTAGAGAAAATTGTATGTGATGAACTATAATCTTGAAATTGGAAAGACTTTATGTAGACAGAAAAAATCATAACAAATATAAAAATGATACTAACCCAAAATAGAGGCAATAAATGAGTTACATAGATTAAAAATGAAGTTTGAAAATTCATGAGCTTGAAATATGAGCTTGAAAATTTCTATTGGAATTTAGAAAATAATTTGTTCATTTATATACTCAAACAAAATATATTCCATATAAAAAATAAACGAAAAAGTAAATGAGAAAATCAAGTTGAAATCAGAAAACATTAAATAAGATGGAAAAGTGAATCTGCTCATATTACTACACAAGAATCAATTAGAATTACCTATGAAATGACAAAAATTTCCAGATTGAGTCACAAAGTAAAATTTAACTATGTCATTTATTAGTGACAAAGTGGAATAAAATGTTTAAAAATTAAATTTAAACAAATCTTTATTAAGCACCCCATATGTAACTGCAGTATAATATTTAATATTCAATAAAAATAATTTGTAAAAAAACAAGCTTCTGTGAAATATTAATACAGAAAAACTAATGGAAGCTATAACAAATTATAAAATATTAAGGCACAGCAGATAACATTAAAAACAAAAGAGAATTTAATACAGCAATTATGGTAGAGGACTCTAGTTCATAATTTATCAGTTCTTAAAAGATTAATAAAGAATATAGAGCATCTTATTTACACAATTAATAAAGCCAATTTAATGGCTATATTAAATTTGGTATGGAATGCACCAAGAATAACCATTCGTTTCAGAAGTCACAAAATATTTTCAAAAATAGTTACACTAAGTTCAATGTGGAAATGGCATATCATGGTTTCTGACATTGTGATAAAGCCAGGTAATACAAGTTTTAATAAATAGATAAAAACTACAAATACTGATCAGTACACATTAAAAATTGCTATCTAAAATAACTCAGGTAAAAGAGAGTCTCCAAGCTATAATATGCAGACTAATTAGAAATAACAAGAGACCTATATAGTCATATATATTGTTCCCTAGGCTACAACTCTGTACAGCATGTTACTGTACTGAATACTGTAGGCACTTGTAACACAATATTATTATTATTAACACAATAATATTAGTGCATTTAAATATCAAAAGGTACAATAAAATATTGTACAAAAGATTAAAAAGTGGTTCAACTGTATAGGGCACTTAACCATGAACAGAGCTTCCAGAACTGGAAATTGCTCTAGGTGAATCAGTGAGTGAGTGATGAATAAAAGCCAATAACATTACTGTATATGACTGTAGACTTTATAAGCACCCTACATTTAACCTACACTAAATTTATAAATGATATATATTTCTTTATTTAATAATAAATTAACCTTAGCTTACTGCAACTTTTTCCCTTTATAAACATTTTAATTTTTTAACTTTTTGACTCTCCCATAATAACAATCAGCTTATAACACAAACGCATTGTACAGCTGTACAAAAATATTTTTTTCTTTATATCCTTATTCCATAAGCTTTTTTCTATTTTTAATTTTAAAAACAATTTTTAATTTATTGCTTTTAAACATTTTTGTTAAAAACTAAGACACAAACACACACATTAGCCTTGTGTGACATAGGGTCAGCACCATAAACATCACTGTCTTCCACCTCCACATCTTGTTCACTGGAAGGTCTTCAGGGGCAATAACATGCATGGAGTTGTCATCTCCTATGGTAATAATTCCCTCTTCTGTAATAAATCCTGAAGGACCTGCCAGAAGCTGTTTTATGGTTAACATTTTTTTAGTAAGTAGAAGGAGTACACTCTAAAATAAAGATAAAATAGTATAGTATATATAATACTATATAGTATAATATACTATAGTATAATAAATACATAAGCCAGTAACATCATCATTCATTATCAAGTATTATGTACTGTACATGATCGTGTGTGTTACACTTTTATAATACTGGCAACAGGGTAGGTTTGTTTACAAAGCATCATCACAGACACGTGAGTAATGCTTTTAATTAAGATATTATGATAGCTAACACATCACTATGTGATAGAAATTTTCATCTCTGTTATAATCTTATGAAATCACCATTGTGTATGTGGTTCATTGTTGACTGAAATGCCATTATGTAGCACATGACTGTATATATCAAAGCATATGTAACTGTACTCAAAAAGTAAATAAGAATGAGCACACAGTTCAATAAGCTACAGAAGACCAAAACAATATAATATTTTCATCAATATATTTAACCTCATATAACTAAAACAATCTTAAATAAAAAGAACAAACTGTGAGGCATTAGTCTTCCTGACTTCAAGCTGTACTATGAAGCAATAATAATTAAATCAGCCTTGGACTGGCACAAGAACAGAAGCATCAATATTTGGAATAGGATTGAGATTCCAGAGATGAAACCATCTGCATAGGGTAACCTAATCTTTCATAAAGCAGACAAAAATATACAATGGGGGAAAGAATCTCTTTTCAATAAATGGTGCTGGGAAAACTAGATAGCTACATGCAGAAGAATGAATCAGGATCCCTACCTCTCACCTCTCACAAAACTCCACTCAAGATGGATAACAGATTTAAACCTAAGGCATGAAACCTTAAGAATCCTAGAAAAAAAGGTTGGGGAAAACCCTCTCAGATATTGGCCTAGGCAAAGAATTCTTGAAGAAGACTCCCAAAGCAATCACCGCAGCAACAAAAATAAACAAATGGGACCTGATCAAATTAAAAAGCTTCTGGACAGCCAAGGATACTATCATAAGAGCAAATAGACAACCTACAGAATGGGAGAAAATATTTGCTCTCTACACTTCTGATAAAGGTCTGATAACCAGAATCTATCTAAAGCGCAAAAGAATTAACAAGAAAAAATCAAACAACCCTATCAAGAAATGGGCAATGGAAATGAACAGAAACTTTTCTAAAGAAGACAGAATAATGGCCAGCAAACATATTAAAAAATGCTCAACATCACTAATCATTAGAGAAATGCAAATTAAAACCACATTGAGATATCAT